TAGATTCATTTAATTGCACATTAAAGATGTATAGTTAGAGATATCTTATTGGTTACTATTTTTGTAGATTGGACCTTTGCCAACAGGAAAAAATTCCTTCATTTAGGGGAAAGTCGGGTAGCCCCGGACGGCGGGTAACTCCGGACACTTGATGTAAAGCTTAAACTAAAGTAGCTATTTGACTTTTAATACTAGAATAACATAATTTGAGTGAAAATATGCAAAATATCTATCATAAAATGTCAAAGCGAATGACTGGGAGGACAAAATTTTGTTTACCACCACCAGAAGAGCGACGTATCATCATATTTGATTCACATATTAATATACCTAATTTTTATGTACACCGATAACTTTTTAATAATTAAAAATATATTTTTATTTACAATAGTTATTAAAAAAAAAGTTCGTTAAAAAGTTCAATTAACTGGTTTTAAAACTAGTATTTGTGAATGAGGTATGATCGGGTGGTATCGGACACATGTTTGGAGGGTGGCTCCGGACAACTTAATTCGTTTACATATTAACTTTTTCTATATAAATATTAATACATTTAGTATAGTACACAAACCTATAACAGCAATTTATTTAATTCCAATAAAAAAACTTTAGATTTGAAAAAAGTGTTTTTAAAGTGTTTATTTTCATTATAAAAAAGCTTATGTTTATATTTTTAAATGATGACATTTTCATTCTCATTATATATATATATATATATATATATATATATATATATATATATATATATATATATATATATATATATATATATATATATATATATATATATATATATATATATATATATATATATATATATATATATATATATATATATATATATATATATATCAGAGGCAATTTTGAAAGGCGATTTTTTTAAAAATGTGTCAAGAACAGTCCAATGCTAAATTATTATATACTACATTTGTGTCACACAGGTAAAAAAACGAGGTAAAATCATGGTTAAACTATGTGTAAACCGGGGCTACCCTCCAATTTTGAAATATGCCTTTTTTCAAACATTTTTCCTTTTATGTTTTGTATTTTATTAAAATACACAATAATTATTTTTTTGTTTCTAATTCGATAGATGAATGTTTTAACTTTTAAAAAAAGTCTTTTGACACTTTTTTTTTTGTTAGCACATGTGCACAATCTATATTTTCCTTAATGGTCCGGGGCTACCCGACTCTCCCCCATTGCAGGTTTTTATATATGTATCAATACTGCAATGTTAATTTTATTTGCAACAACTACATTTTATGAAACGTATTCAAAACCAGATGATTAATTTCTTTTACAAAAGAATAAACCATTTTATACTTTTTCAGAGTATAAAAGCTATGCAGTCATCTCACATCGCAGTCATGCAGTATAGAGCAAGTAAAAATTTCTATTTGAAAAGAAATAATGAGATTTTCTATTGTCTCTTCGAGCTATTATGGTTGTATTCATTTTGTTTCTTCCCACGATTTTTAATTATCGTATTTTTTTTATTTTGTTTACTGTAAAAAGTTTTTTTTAGGTTTTTTTGTAAAGATTTTTTTTGTGAAGACTTGCTTTTTTAAAAATTTATTCAGAAATTTTTTTACATTTTGAACTTTTAATAATTGTTTTATTATTTAAATATGTTTTAAGAAGTGATTAATGTTTTTAACTTTAGTTATTTTTAATTCATGTGCATTAAGAAAGTTGTTAATAAGCATATTGAACACTTCGTTTGTATTATCACACTTAAAAACCTGATTCGACGTCCTTTGTTTAAGTTTTTATTTTTTTGAAAATTATTTGTATTGATAAAGTTTAAAAAACACTATTTTTAAATAAAGTTTCTATATAATTGTTAATTAAAAAATGATCGATTGCAAGAGCTGAACATTTTTTTACCCTATTTGGTTAATTTATAACTGCTTTTGTATATAAAAAGCATGTTATATTTAAATAGCATGTTTTTTGTTTTTTTTAATCATGTATTTATTTGGTCAATGTAAAAATAAAATAAATTCTTTGTAATCTGACAGGAGCAAGCAGAAAACAAAACATCCAGAAATATATTTTTTTAGAGAGGAGGGGTAGAAGGGACAGACGAGCTTTTTAGAGAGGAGGGGTAGAAGGGACAGACGGGCTTTTGAGAGAGGAGGGGTAGAAGGGACACCCGGGCTTTTTAGAGAGGAGGGGTAGAAGGGACAGACGGGCTTTTCGAAATGCTTAAAAGAATGAATCTAAAGAATTAGCAGATATTTTTAGTTTTAGAATCGCATGGATAAGATATGAAGAATTTTCGTGGTCAAAGCTATGACAATACGTCTAACAAGTCTGGTGACTTTCAGCTCGCATTAAAAAAGTTAATTCTTTAGCTACATTTGTGTAATGTTCTCTTAATGCACATTCCATAAATCATGTTGGTGAATGCTCTGTGGACTAGAAATGCTTCTGAATTTTTTATTCTGCTTCATAAATATCTATAAACCTTTCTATAAATCTTTCTTCTACACATAGATGGAAATAAAACAATTTAGTTAAAACAGAAAATGTATTACTCAAATAACTATTTCAAGTGAAGATTTTTAATATATGTAAAAAAAAAAAAAATACTCGTTGATGCGAATACTCGAAGAAGACCGTAAAGTTTTGTCGTCGAGAGCCGCTGTAAAATGACGTGTAACATATTTACATGTTAAATATTTCAAGTAGTAATAACAAGATTTAAATAAAAAAACAATAAATACAAAATTTACAAAAAATTTCTTAGAGATATTATCGACTGATAGTATAATAGCAATGTAGGCTTGTAGATCGTAACGCAATAAAGGCTTGCAGATACCAGGTGGTCAGCAAGATCTGATGCAAGTATTAGCTTAAACAAAAATTGGAATGAAATAAACGACGCAAGGTATTATCAAAGATGATAAATCAGAAATGTATATATATATATATATATATATATATATATATATATATATATATATATATATATATATATATATATATATATATATATATATATATATAAATGATCTTTCGTCTTCATTTGCTAACGAGTGTATACAATTCAGAAGTTATTTAATGAGTTTAGCTGAAAACATAAAACCTTAAACTAAAATAGATATTTGTAAGGTGATAAGAACTGATAAACTTCAAGAACTGTTTCCTTACGTAGATATAGCATTAAGAATATAGCCGAGAGATCACTTTCAGCATTAAAGAGGCTTACATTTTATTTGAGGTTGGGAAAGACTGGTGATTGTATTAATAGGTTAGCAATTCTATCTATTGATCAATAGATAGAATCGCTATTAAGACAATTACCAGTCTTTAGTAATCTATGGTAAGTTCAGATTCAATTGAATCAACATTTATCATAGATTTTAACTTTAATGACATTATAAATACATTCACAAAATAAAACTCAAGTAAAATATTATAATTTTTTTAAATATCAATTGATTAATTTAACTTAATATATATGTTTGTTTTGAAAATGTTTTGTTTCTTAATAATCACCCAATATCAAAGTCGACAGTTATTAGTTTTACATGCGCATACAGCTAACAGTTATTTAAATTGTGTTTATTACATAAATACAAGTTAAAAATAGTTACATTTAATAAATTTTGTTTCACTGCTCTTTAAAACAATTTAATTGTAATTATATTTTTTATCTCATTACTCAGGGTCAAAATCGAAGTCAGTGGTCCTCGATAAGTAACTAAATAGTCTGATAATTTAAGTTATATTGACGGATTACAAAATTTGTTAATGGGATGTTTTGTTGAAGGCAATTTATAATTTGAACTTGATTTAAGCTAAAGGATTGGCCATAAAGTATGTACGCTCGGATGGGGGAGAGGGGTCTGCTAATTGTGTTTATTAGATGGGAGCAAGGGGTAAATTATAAAAGTAAGGAGACACTAAATTAAAAAAAATATAATAAAATGTTGGGTAGGTAGGTTAAAAGCGTAGGTACTCTTAGAGAGAGGGAGAGTACTCATAAAAGCGTAAAGCAAAATGCTGGGGGATTGGGTCAAAATAAAAGCGTACTTTTTGGACTTTTTGGTTCTTATGAACTTAAGAAAAATAATTTTTTTAGTAGTTAGAAGTAGTCCATAAATTACGTCACACAACCTTTGACCCCCTCCCCCCTACCAACTCTCGTTACAATATCTTTACTCTTTAGTAACAAGTTCCGTACGAGTCGTCACAAAACCGCTAATAACTCCTTCTTTTCCAGAACGTGACGTAGTTTACGGATAACCCCTTATTATTTGGCTATCCATCAATTACTATCCTCGGAAGAGTATTTATCGTGAAAATTTATGCCTCCTTCATTTTTAATATTCCAATTGAAGTTGGAGCTAACATCAAACCTCTGATCTTTTGGTTCTGAAGTAATAGCTAACTATACTACTCATAGAATAGTTACATACTAAGTAAAGGTAAATTGTTTGTGCATTGTTAATTCTTAATTAATATTAAGCTCTAGATATTTTTACAAATATATAATGTTTAATGTTACTTTTAATTTAATATCATTTAACATTATTTATAGTTTAATATTATTTAATATAAATTTAATTACAGTTTAGCTTAAGTTTTAAAGAATGAATTTAAAGAACAATTTTCAACAGTTTTCAATTCTCTTTGCTCATTAATTGTTTTTACCTCACCTCCTACATACAACATTATTCCAAATTCGTTCATTATAGTCTTTTCAAAAGTAAACTCTCGAAGCTAACTGACTTTTTTTTAAAATATTTTAATTGTAGTTGCCCCAGGAAGTCCTTACGGTCTTATCACAGAGCACCGCGGAAGAGCATTTGAAAGGAAGTTGACGCCTTCTTCCTTACCGATGTTATAAAACTTGCCCAAAGGTGGCGTTGAGCCATATTTTGATATTTAATCAAATGTCTCCAGAGAGTAAGAGACTGATTTAAAAAAATTAGATTTGACATGAATTGGAAGAAAACTGAAAGCAAAGTAATGAATAATAATAATAATAAAAATAATAACAACAATAATAATGATGAATACAAAAAAAAAAGTGTAAAATTTGTTGAAATTGTAAAAACTCAAAGTAAGTTTGCAAAATAATATATTTCAAATTTTTCAGTTTGTGCTTAAGCTGTAGATAATTTTACAATTATATAATGTCTATATAAAACTATATTATAATAAGTTATTTATTTACAATTGCATTAAATTCTGTACAATAAAAAAGAAAACATGAAAAGTAATTAAAACATATAAAATATATAAAAATAAAAATTCCAGTAAAATTTTAATTCAAAAATTTAAAGGAATTAAAAAGATAGTAATTTTTTTAACGTGTAAATAGTTATTAATTAAACAACCTATTTAATTATAAATAAAAATTTATTAAGTTTAATTTATATATTATCTATACCGCTGACAATAACTCAGCTAGTTGCAACGAAATTCTGTTACATTATGTTGACAAGTTTTACAGTCTAGTCTGCAACAATAGTGAAACTTACATGCACAAGTTTTTTCCATCAAAAACGAAAATTCACTGAAACCTCGGTTGCAGCAAAGTTTTTCACAACTATCCGGAGAATTTGCAGAAAGAGAACATTTTCTGCCTTTTGTACCGATTGCACCAAGTGCCACATCGGTATTACAAAAGTCAGGACTGTCTGTCATAAAAATAAAATAATTTTTTTCTGGCTTAATATTTGTATGCGTAATAAGTTGTCCATTGTTATCTGGTCCTGCTTTAATTGCGTTATTATATATACTTTTTAGTTCGTTACCCATTTCTTCAAAAGACGGCAAAATTCGAACACATTTTTTCAACGCGCAAGCACCAGAAAGTCCATGGCAAATACACGTCTCTTTTTTAATTTTTTCTAAAGCCTAACAATAAAAAAGAAGCTAATAAAAATAGTTGAAAAAAAAGCAGTAGATATAAAAATAAATTGACAAAAATTCTCAAAATATCATGAAAAAAAAGGTTAAAAACAAATATAAACTGACTGTTCTTCCCGCCTCTTTATTGTGTTCATCCATTTGCCAACGAGCATCCCTAATCTTTTTGCTAGACAAAAGTTCTCGTGAAGAATCTATTCCATGCTTTATGCAATTTTGTAAACAATTTTCGTTATACAGAGGTGACGATGTTGGAGAAACGTCTTTAGCTGTTGGATCCAGTTTATATCTACATTCTTGTTTCAAACCTTTTAAACAAACGGTTGAAATTATATGAGCTAAACTTGCCGAGAATATTCCGAATAAAAAAGCGCTTTCTCGAGTTGCTATAAAAAAAATTTTTTAACAGACTTTTAAAAACACAGAAAATTATTGACAATAAATTTATTGAAAATAAACATAGATTTGGCTTTCAACTTTTAATGCAACATTTCAACGTCAGGAATAAGCAAATAGAAAATTAATTAAATTTAATTACAAATTTAATTAAAACTGATTAAATTTTTTAGTTGACAATGATATGTATTACGTAATCCAAAAAATAAATAATTTGAATCGTAGAACTTAAAATCACAAAAATATTTTGTACCTAACTTTGCTGTTTTTAGTAAAGAACCAGACACTATAGAGCAGTTCCACTTTTCATCTTTAAATTGTCGTTGACATTCGTTAATGCCGCAAAGAGATGCACTGCTGATAGCTTTCTTTGTTGCTTCATCGTCGTTTGATCGTAAGTATTCCGTATTAAGACGAATAACACTTGTCAAAGAAGAGGAAAGAGCGTTTGGTAGGTCGTTATAGGTACTGTTAATTTAACGTTGAAATTTTTTTTAGAGCAATATTTTATAAAGTGAATAGTTCAGTAAAGTAATTTTCTTTTATTTTAAAATACAACTTTTTAAAAAAAGTTTATAAACGATTTACCTGTCACTTTGACCTTGGACATTAGTTGTTTTGATCATTATAAATATGAAAAACAAAGTTGTATGAAGATTACAAAAGTTCATTTTTAAAAATTAATTTTAATTTCCCTAATTAACTGCAGTTATTAGGTTTCTAAATTTTAAACTGAGTTTGCTGGGATTTTATATGAGGAGGTAACTATTGAATTTATTTGTTTCTATTGTTTTTGAGACGTCAGTAGTTTGCCGCTTAACTAATTAGTATTCATAAATGGCCGACGGATTATCGAGCGATCAGTGTAATTCAAAAATATTTTAATCAATTAGCGACTATTGAATTCTTTTATTTAGAGTTGTTGATGTTCGGTAGACTGTCGTACTAACACAAATTGATATTTTCGGTTAGTCTTATGATTAAAAAAGATTTGGTCAGTAGCTTGACGTATATATTTCATTTATTTTTTTTCATCAACTTAACGAGTCATCAATTAGCATAGTAATGGTTTCAACCTTATCAAAACAGCGATAATTCCATTCTAAAATAATTTTTAAAAAGCCGATAATGCGATGTTTGTTTATATAATTTTAAACATTCTAACAATTATATTTAAAACTAAGGGCGTGCTGTGACGATTACTGTACTATGACATCATACATTTATGTAAAATATTACACTTACTTCTTAAAAAATGCACATCCTTTTTCAACTAGTATATTTTTATACATTTATAATTATAATTTTTATATATGTATAATATAAATTAATATATATATATATATATATATATATATATATATATATATATATATATATATATATATATATACATACATACTTATATATATATATATATATATGTATATATATATATATATATATATATATATATATATATATATATATATATATATATATATATATATATATATATATATATATATATATATATATATATATATATATATATATATATATATATATATATATTAAATTCAATTTTGTTCAGGTGGTACTACCCTGCAATTTTTATTTTTCAAAAAAAGATCTTTTTCTTATAATGATAAACATTTTTCGATATTAGTTAAAAAACTGAATATGAAAAACACTAATTCTACAAACATATAGCTAATTGTTTGGTGGAGGGCCCTCAGTAGAATTTTTAAAAATACTGAACGAAAGTAAAATGGCAGATATCAACCTGTAAAAATTATAAAAAATTGGTCCGTGGGGTATGTAAAATTTTATGAACAAACTGTAAAAATTTCAAAGAATAAGAGTAAATAGTTTTTGAGATATCAATATTCTAGTTTAAAAATATTTGAAAAATATTATTCTGAGAAAAACAGCTTTTAAAATAAAAAATGTCTTAAACTTAAAAAATCTCTAAATAAAAAATATCCAAACTGGCTAGAGTCAAACTAGCCAAAAAAATATGATTAACCACCTTTGATACTTTGTTCTGTGTCAAAATAACCATTTTACAATACCAATGAAAAAATTGTGAAAATAGGGCAAACACATAAACAAACATGGTTGTTAAGGCCGTTGCTAGGGGTTCAAAATGAACCTTTTTGCACTTGAATACAAATCTTAGGACTTTCTGTTATTTTTTGAAGGAAAGTAAAGTAGTTATGTGATTTAGAATGTTCAAACTGTTAAAATTTACAGTAAAAAAATTTTTTTTTTTTGCTGATTTTAACAGGGTAGTACCACCTTAATTTTTTTTTAATGACCAATATTGTTAAAAACAGTAATAAAATGATTGTAATAAGTAAGTTCTTCATTTAAATATTTTTGATTGCCATGACAATTTTAGTTGTAATGAGGATGATGAGTGCAACGAGGATAATGATTGGAAAATTTTTTCTTATTTCATAAATACCACTATTATACATAATTTTTTCATTAAATTGAACATCCTGTAAAGATACCCGGTATGCATCTTATTTTGTCCCTAGGATGCGGTTCATTTCAGGCTTCTATTAAAAGCTTATTGTTTATCCTGATTTTGAAAAATGTTGTTATAAAGATTTGCTTGGTCTTATTCTGAGTTTTTGAACAAGGCTTAAGTTAAGTTTTTTATTCATATATATTTCCTTTATTAATTATATATTTTATTGTGTTTCAAAATCTTGTTATAATAACTTTTTTTTGAGCCATTTTCACATTTTTACGGCCATTTTCACATTTTACGGCCATTTTCACATTTTTACAGCCATTTTCACATTTTTACGGAATAAAAGATTTAGTGGAACACTCCGAAAGTATGTAAATATATATTTCATTACAGATTTACAACAAAAATACTATTAATAGCAAAATTAGAGTTGAAACATATTAGCTTAAATAATTTTTTAAATTTTGTAAGGTTACAATTGTCACAAAAAAGAAAAGATTATTTGCGAACCAATTTCGCCATAGATAAATTGTCATAATTGAAAAATAGATAACTATAACAGTGAAATCTTTGAAAAATTGAAAGTTACAATGGTAAAATAAATTACAATATTTAATAAAAGTAACGTTTTTTTTATATAAAGCTGAACTTGTAAAATAAAACTGAACTTGAGAAATAAAATATTTCGCAAAATATTAATCTTACTATTGCAAAATTTTTATTTCGAAACCATTTTCACAATATATTCGATCTTATCACAACAATAATAGATAAGACACGAGATGGTAAAAACATCAGAATAAAAAATATTCAAATCAAAACTTTTTTAACCAAAATTTTGCATTTTTTAAATAAGTTCTTGTAACCACTTTTACCTGATGTAACCACCTTTAATTGATACGCATTTGTTTAATTACTCAATTTTTAATTATTAAATAAATCCCAAAAATTATTTTAGAGTTTAAAGATAGCATTTAATGTAATGTGGATATCCTTAGTATTACCAACCAAGTATCTAATAAACCAGTTTTCTAAAACTAATTGAAAAAGTTACTTATAACAGATCCATGTTATGTTTAAACATCCTTCGTCTTTCCTGTTAAAACGTAATAGTAATAATGTAAGAATTAATCTATTTCCATAACTTTAGAGATGTTGCAAGACTTTACAAGAACAACAAAAGTTTCAAAAAAAAAAAATACAAATTTTGATTACAAAAAAAAAAGCGTTTGATAAAGCATAAACGTCACATGTTGCAATTGCTTTTTTGTAGTTATTTCAGCTAAAATTATAAGATAAATCTTTGTTTGCTAATGTTCTTTATATATTCATTTATATATCCTTTTGGTTGGATACATAAAGGTTTAATGCATTTGGTTGTGATCATGGCTAAAACTTTGTCCAAACATGGTAGTAGATTTTATTTGCAATTATTGGATACTAAATAGTGAAAAATGAAATTCCAATGTAAAGCTTATAATGCATAGCAGTATAAATACACTTTGCAGATTGTTCACAAAGTTGCAAAAGTATTTAATTAGGGTTGTTACGTAAAAAAAGAAAAAATATTTCATCCATTCTCAAGATTCATAATTTTATTTAGATTTTTTTGTATAAAATAATATTTAAAACTATTAAATAAAATAAATTGTAAAACAAAAGAATCTACAAGAGCTTCTCACAAAGTAAATAAATTATTTAAAACCAATATCGTCGTCCAGATGTACGACACCAAAAATAATCAAAGTTTAACGCATTTAGTTTGGAGATATAATGCATTAAGTTTGGAGATAAAACGATATTTTTTTTTAAATTGTTTTTAATATTATTTAAAAGAGGAGAAATTTTTACAGATTAATTTTTGTTGTTTTCTTAAGTTTGCGGCGCACCTCTTGAAGATCTGAATGTCTCTTTTTAATTGACCTGATTTATCTCTTAGATTTGCAATAGGTATTTCTAAAAAACAATTTATGGTGAATATAGAGTAAACCATCAAATTTTAAACACTAAATAATAAAAACTTTTACGTAAATATTATTTTTTGCTTCTCCAGCTTTACCTTATTTATAAAACGGATGTATTTAAATTTAAAACGGAAGTATATAAATTTAAAACGGAAGTATTTAAACTTTATGAATATGTTTGCACTGAGTTATTTAAGCACATTGTTCCAATTTAACCAAATAATTAATCTTAACGTTTCAAAAAATAAATTATATAAAAGCATTAAATTATTTTACTTTTTAAAGATTAAGCTAATTTCAAAGTTAGTTAGGGTTAAATCAACCGTGGTCAATCAACCCTTGAAAATAAATGTTTTAAGTTATAATTAAAAAATGTTGTTTACAGTTTTATTATGAACGAAGTCTTACGTGTGTCATAATTTTTATAATACCTATACTAGACGGCCGTCCATACAGTCATAATTATCATTATGGAAAAAAAGAATTACTACAGACGCTGCATATAAATGTAAGAGCGTGTATTATTTTATTCTAAAGATTTTTAATATTACTACGCCATTATATTTGTGGGACTATCATTAACATACCCGTTAATATTAAATAAAATGCCGCGGTTAAGAATCATAAACTAAACTAGTGAATAATCATTTGAAGGTCAATTGTTCTATTAAAGAAAATTATTTACCAATACATTGAGTTAGATATGGCATGGTGTCGTTAAAAATAAAATAAAAATAACACAAATTTGAAAATTGGGTCGCACATGACAACTATTTAAAAAAACAAAAAGGATTAATTTTAAATTAAAGTGAAAAGTTGAGATTTAACCGAAATGTAAAAACCTTAAGACATTTACCTTTCATATTATTTAGTTAAAAAATTGTCTTTGCAAAGATTCCTTGATCAAATAGTTTTATGATATAAAGAAACCATGATTTGGGACCAGAATTAGAATATTTAGAACCATAGAACATTTATTGGTCACATACAATAAAGCATTCATTAATCACATACTTAAAGTTTACAAAACAGACGTTATATAAAACCAAGATTTTGTACAAAACACAAAAAACAACAAAGTTTCCATCATAAATGAAGAAACCTAGAACATTTGTGGCCATTCTTAAACTTCTAGAAATACAAAAATTATGTGAAACATATTAAAGAATATATTATTAAAGAATATAGCAAATTTGTGTTACATTTTGATAAGCCTTAAGAACACCCACATCAATAGAAGGAAACGGTGAATGCTGGAAACAAGAACCAAAATAATCTTGGTTTAAAATAGACTTGGGTTTTTTTTAAATAATCTTTATATAAAAAAA